TTACACAAGTGTTGCACTTAATTTTTTAAAAGAGTTCTTGCTGCCATGAACTGAAATAAAACACTGAGTGATTGAAGTATTTTTTTTTGTTAAAAAAATGCATTCCCAAAAACCAAAACACCTGAAAAAAATCTGGACCTTTCAATAAAGTCTACATCTTTGCAGATGTGGATCCTGTAGGGATTGAGTCACCTTCAACAATCCCGAGGGTCAATCCCTACTGTCATCCTGGTTTTTCGGGCCCCTGGATGACATTGCCACCTTCCCGTCAGCTCCCCATCCCCCCCCCCCAAACCTACTGTTTGCAGGCCTCCCTGGTACATTTAGGGGGGAAATGGGGGGTTGGGGGATGGATAGATCAAGCATGGGCAAACTTCAACCTTCCAGGTGTTTTGGACTTCAACTCCCAGAATTCCTAACAGCTGGTAGGCTATTAGGAATTGTGGGTTGAAGCACCGGGACTTTGGCGCAGCTGGCTGGGAGTCAGCTGCATTAAGATCACTACTGACCAAGTGATATTCCTCTCTATCTCCTCAAGAGCTCCCGACCAAAATTGTGTAGCTTGTTGTCGACCTTTGCAGCCCAAAAGAAAGTTGCATCTGTCAAGTAGGAAAATTAGGTACCACTTATGTGGGGAGGCTAATTTAACTGATTTACGAGGCCATAAAAATCTCCAGGAAGTATGCAAAGAATGAGTAAGTATTTCATCAGTGTCACAAACAGACGGTGAAGTGACAGCTCCCCTGGTGGCCAGAAGCTGGAATGTTAAATAGCCTCTGAGTGTCTGTCTATATACGTTGTGTGTCTATGGCACTGAATGTTTGCCATGTATATGTATATTGTAATCCTCTCTGAGTCCCCTGTGGGGTGGGAAGGGTGGAAGATAAATACTGTAAATAAATAAATAAATAAATTGGAGGGCCGAAGTTTGCCCACGCCTGAGCTAGATGCTTTACCAAGCATCTAGCCACACACGCCACACCCTCACAAAATTTCCAGGATGTCGGCTCACTGTGTGACCTAAATCCTGAGAAGAACCGGGATTTTATATATATGTGTGTGTGTGTGTACACACACACACACACACACACACACATATCAGTAGCACTATATTGTAGAAAAGTTTTATATATAAGACTATTCTTTGGGAAAGGAGCTCAGTTTCAAATAGTACATCAATACACAAAAACTGGGAAAGGGTCCCAAACAATAACCAGTGGTCTATTCCATGTACATATGTCAGGGATTTTATTAGCAACACAAATACATACATTATTCAGAGCCACAACATTTCCCATGTTGTTACTACAAGTATATTCAAGTGACTCTTGCATAAAGTAGCATTTTTTGAAGAAAAAAAATCAACAATGGCATTCACAGTAATGGTCCTTGCTTAATAGGTAACATTGTCTAAGGGCTCTGGGGACATTTTCAATTTACTCTTTTTTAAAAAAAAAAACCATAAATCTTGCCTGTGTTAGATTTTAGGTAATTTTGTAATTATGCAATTTGAAGCCAAGGGCATCTCAAATGAAGACAGCAGTGCAAGTGACCCAAACAAGATCTTTGGAACTTGTGTGGTTTTCTCTAGGCTGCAAATGAACTCATTAGCCGGATGCCCAAATCCATAAAGAAGACCCTTTGTTAAGCAGTCGGTCCAATTAGCCAAGTGTGTTGTACTTTGAAGCCTCAAAGTGTTTGACTTTTGGTGAAACTCCTGTCTCAAAGCCCAAATGAAAAATACAGTGAAGGAGGAGTGAGAGGGGAAGCCCAGAACCTCTTAAAATACACCACAGAATGATTCAGAAAGGAATTTCTCGGTACATCTTGAACATACACACACAGTTATTGTAAAAGTGCCCCTTTATCCCATGACCCCTCTAACAAACACAGTCGTCGCTACCTCTGAACCGTCCATACACGCAAAAATATTCTCTTTATAATACTCCGCGATTCTAAGCCTACCCAAAGAGTGTTATAAAGAGGCCAGACAGGGAGTAAACAAACAAAACAAGGATCTAATACAGTAAGTTACGGGAAACAAATAATTTGCACACATTTAAACTAGACATAATGCATGCAAACATTTGGAGAAAGAGATCGTCTGTTTCATCTACGGGCATCACTGCTTCTGTCAAAATCCTGTCCCCATATACCCAACACACCAGGAGGAAAAATCAGAAATGATTGAGGGCGATGAGTGGCTAAAAGGAACTTAAAGAAAGGCAGGGAGTAGTTGGGGAACCAAATGAGAAATTCATTGGAAGTATTGTAAATCCACAATCCTAGACCCTATCAACACAGCCCACTTCCCACTATCAACCTGACAGCTGTCCAGAAATCAGCCCAGATCAGTCCAAATGACACTAAATGGCACTTCACTATGCAACATGCAAAAACAAAATGTCTGTATTTACAATTGGATGCCTGTCTTACAATACAAAGTCACTCTAAAACAGGGGTAGGGAACCTTTGGCCCTCCAGCTGTGGTGGACTTCAACTCCCACAATTCCTTGAGGCTCAGCATTCGCCCCAAAGGCTTACCTTGGCCCAATGCCGAACCTCAAGGAATTGTGGGAGTTGAAGTCCACCACAGCTGGAGGGCCAAAGGTTCCCTACCCCTGCTCTAAAACCTACAAGCAGTAGCATGAGCTTGGGCTTATGGAAGACCTGGAAGTGACAGAATGAGAGATCATTTTTCTAGTGGATCGAACCGTGGCTCCTGCTTGTCCAATGTTTGTGGACATTTTACAGTTTGTGCAGCCTGGGGATGTGGACAGGATCCTAGGAGAGGATCTGTACTAGGATCCTGTGGGGGATCTGTGAGGATCTGTGAGGCCTGTATTAAATAGGCCAGGGGTCCTCAAACTTTTTAAACAGAGGGCCAGATCACAGTCCCTCAAACTGTTTGGAGGGCCAGATTATAATTTGGAGAGAAAAAAACATGAATTCCTATCCACACTGCACATATCTTATTTGTAGTGCAAAAAACAGTTAAAAACAATGCAAGAATTAAAATGAAGAACTATTTTAACAAATATAAACTTATTAGTATTTCAATGGGAAGTGTGGGCCTGCTTTTGGCTGATGAGATAGGAATGTTGTTGTTGTGTGCTTTTAAGTCGTTTCAGACTTAGGTTGACCCTGAGCGAGGGCCAGGTAAATGAACTTGGAGGGCAGTATCTGGCCCTCGGACCTTAGTTTGAGGACCCCTGAAATAGACCATCCCTGAACCTCTCTATAGTATAGGCCGCACTGAGTCCCTCTTGTGGGGAGAAGGGCGGGATATAAATATATGAAATAAATAATAATAATAATAAATAAGTAATGGACAATAGCATGTGCCCAACCTTCCATTTTAGGCAAGGAATTGGAGTATGTGGTGGCTTCTTAACTACAGACGTTTTTGGATGAAATTGATTATCTAGACTGGTTGTTCCCAACCTGTGTCTCTCCAGGTGTTTTGGCCTACAACTCCCAGAAATCTCAGGCAGTTTACCAACTATTAGGATTTCTGCGAGTTGAAGGTCAAAACATCTGGGGACCCACAGGTTGAGAACCACTGGGCTAGACTCATTTCAATCTGGCTTCAGGCCTGGTTATGGAACAGAAACAGTTCGGGTGGATGACCTATGCAGAGAACTGGATATGGGGAAATGTAGTGGATTCTCGGGGACTTTCTGTTCTATTGATGAGATGGGACTTGGAGACAATGTTTTGCAGTGGCTCTTTTTCTTCTTGGAAGGACAAATTCAGAAGGTGGTGAAGATTTCTATTTGATCCCCAGGCCATTGGCCCGTGAGGCTCTGTTTTGTCCCTCATGATGTTTAACATATCCATAAAACCACAACGAGAGGTCATATGGAATTTTGGAGTGTAGTGCAATCTCTATAAGGATGGCACCCAACTCTACTACTCATTTCCAAACCAAGGAAGCTGTCCTGGGCATAAACTTGTCTACCACCAATTACGGACTAGATGAGGGCAAACAAACTCAAACCTAAAATAGAGGTCTTCTTGGCCAGTCTGATCAGGAAATAGTGATTCAGCCTTTCTAGATGGGTTTACACTCCTCCTGAAGACATGAGTTGATAGCTTGGGGCTTCTCCTGGACTCAGCATTGAACCTAGAGGTCCAGGTATCCATGCTGGCCAGAACAGCATTTGATCATTGAAAACTTGTGCACCAATTGTGTCCATTCCTTGAAAAGTTGGATCTGGCGTATGTGTCACATGCCTTAGTGACATTCTGTTTGGATTACAGTAACACATTCCACTTGGGGCTGCCTTTGAAGAGTGTTTGGAAACTTCAAATGGTACGAATTCTTAGCAGGAATTGGCTGCAGGGAGTGCAAAACTCTGCTATACGCACAGTCTACTGGAGCTGCAAAGCCCACTCTCTTAATTTCTCAAATTAGAATTTTCCAAGTAAAATCCTCCCAAGTATGGTTCTTGCCTTTTAATTTTAACTCCAGACCGTAGTTTGTGATTTTACCACTATGTGGCAACAAACGCCAGCTAAACCCCTTCTCTGCCCACTTATCCAAATGCCCAGAGTTTAACTTTGCAAAATTACACTAAACACCAGCTTTACCATTACAACTGTGCAACAAGCTATATAAACTGTGTGTATGCTTCTCAAAACTCTGCAAGAAGTGTCGAAAAGATAGTCAATTCCTAGGCACCATGTTTGGACAGCGGATCTGACCAATGGCACTGGGATGTAAATTCCTAATGATTAGCCAAGCCAGCAAAAAGATCACAGCACGAGCTACCACATATGTGCTTCTATCATGAAGCTGATTTCTGATTGGGCTGTAACAGGGATGTCATCCTAATCCAAGATCAAGTGACGACATGCAGTTTCCCAGTGGGCTGAAGATAAGAGGGCCCTACAACATGGTTTTCTGGACCTGAGGACTGATTTGCTTCTTTTTAAAAAAGACATGCAAGAGATACAAAGACGGACAGACGGACAGAGCAGTGGGGTAGAAAACTCACCTTGAGGTCTCTGTGGACGACCCCCATTTGGTGGCAATGGAGCACAGCCTCCAGGATCTGCTGGATGCAATGACTGCATGCAAACACCAGGGGGGGTGTTAGTTCACGGTGAGTGGTAACAACCACACAGGCTGGTGGGGTGGGTGGGGGGTAATGGGGGGAAAATCAGGAGAGGGGAAGCGGAAGAGGAGAAGAAGGAAAAGGGAAAGGAGGAAAAGGGAAATGGAAAATAAAGGAATCTGACTCCCTCTCTGCTTCAGGCTCTAATTGCAAAATGAGAAAGACCCCAAGTTACAGATACAAAATTCTGGGAAAGGGAGAGCAGGACTGGAGAAAGGGGAGTTGCCTCCCCCAGGAAAGGAAAGATGCAAGGACCCAAGGTATGGACTAAAATTCCTGCAGCCAGGAGACACATCACAAAGGAGAGAGCTGTGAAGGCTGCGCTGAAGAAAAGGAGTCGGAAAAGAATAACAACTACTGTTGCAGAAAGTTTTGACATTTCTTTCCCCCAAACCCACCCTAGAGTTTGGAAAAGATAACAACAAAATGAAGGGGAAAGTTGAGCAAGATTGACTCAAATTAATTAACTTTACTGGTTCTCTTTTTTAAAATATATATATATCTTTAAACTATGGACAGAGCTAAATGTTTTCCTATTGTGCATCTCTGATGGCAGCGGATCTCACTGGCTAGTCCTTGTGGTTTCCTTCAGCTCTGATTCTATAACCAAATGTACTGACATTTACAAAAGAAAGCACATAGTTTTCACCTCGCTGAGGAAGTGGTAGCTTTATGTCTAGGTCAGTGGTTCTCAACCTGTGCCCCCCCAGATGTTTTGGCCTTCAACTCCCAGAAATCCTAACAGCTGGTAAACTGGCTGAGATTTCTGGGAGTTGTAGGCCAAAGCACCCACAGGTTGACAACCACTGGTCTAGGTAACAAATGTATATTTTCCATTTTTATGCCTTCAAAATCTCACCTGAATGGAACAAGAGCAAAACTACTGAAGCCATACCCCAACTGTTGCAACTTGAGATGGACAACACCACTTGCACATCAATTGCACAACATCAATTGCACAACACAACTCTCCCCACCCCAATGTCTTGGCTTTTAGGTCTCTTCCTGGGGCTATTGGGGACACTGATTCAACAGACTGCATTGGATAGACCAGGCAAAATTTGGCCCTTCAGGTGTTTTGGACTCCAACTCCCACAATTCCTAACACCCTCAGGCCCCTTCCTTTTCCCTCTCAACCGCTTGTTCTGAACTCCAACTTCCAATTCCTAACACCCTCAGGCCCCTTCCTTTTCCCTCTCAGCTGCATGTTCTGGACTCCAACTTCCACAATTCCTAACACCCTCAGGCTTCTTCCTTTTCCCTCTCAACTACTTGTTTTGGACTCCAACTTCCACAATTCCTAACACCCTCAGGCCCTTTCCTTAAGTGGCTGAGGGGGAAAAGGAAAGGGCCTGAGCCTGTTAGGAATTGTGGGAGTGGGAGTGCAATACACCTGGAGGGATCAAGTTTGCCCATGCTTGGAACTGACCATATCAGCTCTAGTTTCTTAGATACAGTTATTATGGATGAGCAGATGGCGACTGGGAGATGGTTTATGTTCTATATCTCAAAACCTAGAGCTGGTAGGAGAAACCTGGTGCCATTTTTTGAATCAGCAGGTCAAGTATACCCAGATAGTGGACTAATCTCTGAGGCACCAAAATGTGTGTTGTCCAGTGTTAATTCTCTGTTGTTCCATTTTTTTCAGCTGCTTTTAAAATATTGATATTTCTATCTCCTTCCTTCGCTTCTACACTTTGTTCTCCGTAGTCTGCATTCAGTTCACTCAGCTGAAGGAGAAGGAGAAACTTGTTTACAAACAAAAGCAAACTGATGCTGTTGTCGAAGGCTTTAATGGCCAGAATCACTGGGTTGCTGTGAGTTTTCCGTGCTGTTTAGCCATGTTCCAGAAGCATTCTCTCCTGATGTATCGCCTCCAACTATAGCAGGCATCCTCAGAGGTTGTGAGGAAAGAATGCTTCTGAAACATGGCTATACAGCCTGGAAAACACACAACAACCTAACAAAAAAGAGGTCTCATATTGCCTCTTCATATCTTCAGTCACCAGAGTGCTAATGGACAGCAATGTTTCTGCAACTATCACTCAAAAGTACAAAACCCATCTTTTCTTTGAGGATGGCAAACCTATGCAGTCCATTTGGGTGGTAGCATGGCCGTACAGCCTGGAAAACTCACAACAACCCCTCCTAACTTGTGCAACCTTCCATATTAATAACATTGACAACAAAGATCCCCAGGCAGGAAGCAGCCAGGCTTTGAAGTTGCAAGACCATTCAATTCTAATCAAAGTGGCCAATTGCAAGATTCACACTTGCCTCCAGCAGACAAGTGTTCTTTCTCCCAACCTGGACATTATTCCACAGATATATAAACACCACTTGCCTAGTTTCCAACAGACCTCACAACCTCTGAGGCTGCCTGCCATAGATGTGGGTGAGATGTCAGGAGAGAATGCTTGTGGAACATAGCCATACAGCCTGGAAAACTCACAGCAACCCAACACTGATCATCTTGACCACATTCTAAAGTTGTCTGGCTGCATGTGTTCTGGTTTTCAGCTATGAATTGCTAGATAGTGTTCTGGAACCCAGCCTATCACCATTATCTGTTACAACATATTTACGCATGTATCAATTATTATTATTATTATTATTATTATTATTATCATCATCTATCGGACAGATGGCAAGCTATTTAACCTCAGCAGACTGAAAGCCAAAACCAAGGTTATAGAACTCCAATATGCTGATGACAACGTTGTCTGTGCGTATTCAGAAGAAGACCTACAAGCCACTCTAAACACCTTCACAGAAGCATACGAGAAGCTCAGCCTGTCATTGAACATCGAGAAAACCAAAGTGCTCTTCCAGCAGTCACCAGCCAATCCTTCTCCAATGCCAGAAATTCAGCTTAATGGTGTAACACTAGAAAATGTTGACCATTTCCGCTCCCTTGGCAGCCACCTCTCCACCAAAGTCAACATTGACAACAAAATACAACACCGCCTGAGCTCTCTGAATGAAGCAGAGAGTGTTTGAGAACCTAGACATCCATAGGGATACCAAGTTGCTTGTTTATAAAGCTATTGCCCTCCCAACCCTGCTATACACCTGCAAGACGTGGACTATCTACAGACGTCACATGCAACTCCTAGAACGATTCCATCAGTGTTGTTTCTGAAAAATCCTGCAAAACTCTTGGGAAGACAAGCGGAAAATGTCAGTGTGCTGGAAGAAGCAAAGACCACCAGCACTGAAGCGATGGTCCTCCGCCATCAACTCCGCTGGACCGGCCACATTGTCTCCCACTGTCTCCCAAAGCAGTTGCTCTACTTCGAACTCAAGAATGGAAAGCGGAATGTTGGTGGACAGGAAAAGAGATCTAAAGATGGGCTCAAAGCCAACCTTAAAAACTCTGGCATAGACACTGAGAACTGGGAAGCCCTGGCCCTGGAGCGCTCCAGCTGGAGGTCAGCTGTGACCAGCAGTGCTGTAGAATTTGAAGAGGCATGAATGGAGGGAGAAATAGAGAAAAGTGCCAAGAGGAAGGTGCGTCAAGCCAACCCCAACAGGGACCGCCTTCCACCTGGAAAACAATGCCCTTACTGCAGGAGAACATGCAAATCAAGAATAGGGCTCCACAGTCACCTACGGAACAATCGCTAGAACACCGACCTTGGAAGACAATCCTATTTGGACAACTAGGGATTGCTTAACTCTTGGAGGCAAATCAATCTATTATTATTATTATTATCATCATTATTATTGCCTGCCTCTCCCCAAAATAAAAAAGGCCTCATTACTTTTTCTAACTCCCTTTCCTGGCATTAGTACAAGCAGAGAAGGAACCTGAGATGCAAAGTGGTCAGTTAAGATGTTTAAGGAGTCAGAACAATGCATCTGGAAAGGTAACATGGACCACAGGTGGCAGACGGTCTTAGCCACCCATTTCAAGGCTTAAATGACCTGGCAAAAGTATACCACTTAAGGAGCCTATGCAACTGAGCTACCGCAAGAATGATCAACAGGAAGTGTACTGAATCGAGCACTAAGAAATATTCAGAAAGCTATTGTCATTGAGCCCTCCCTCCCTGTAATAATAAAGGCTGGATGCAATCTATTCTATATACACTGACTTAACATTAGGCTCTACTGAATACACGGAGGGTAACCTCTGAGAACACACTCTGCTTATAAGACTCTAAATATAAATGGGAAAAATAAATGAGGAATGTATTTTGCCCTCTCCTTGCAAGCATCTGTAAAATGAGTAACACCCTGCCTGCCAATGTTGGAGCCTGTTCCAGGGCTTGGAAAGGCCAACGCTATAGTTCAGGCATGGGCAAACTCCTGCCCTACCGGCTGTTAGGAATTGTGGAAGTTGAAGTCCAAAACACCCGGAAGGCAGGAGTTTGCCCATGCCTGATCTAGCACCACATCCATTGATCTAAACATACCGTATTAAACATTTAATTACTGTGTATACTTGGGTATAAGCCTACTTTTTCAGCCCTTTTTTAAGTCTAAAAAAAGTCCTCCTCGGCTTATACTCGAGTCAACATTATTTCTTATTTTATCCTGTTAGAAATACATAATAAATATATAAATAAAATAAATATATATTATTACATTGATCATTTTACTTTATTGTTTTTATCATTATTATATATATTATTTCACTCTATTTATTATTGTTGTTATTACATTTATTATTTTCCTCTATTATTACGGTTATTATTACATTTCCATTTTTACTCTATTATTATTACTGTTATTATCATTACATTTATTGTTTTACTCTATTTATTTTTATTTTTATGATTATTTTTATTGTATTTCTTAAAAAGTGATTAGATAGGTTTGGTTACATGGAAAGTGGGGGAATATTTGTGAAGGAGATAGAAAAGGAGGAAATAGGGTGGGGTCAGAAGAAGGGAAGGGGGAGGGAAAAAGAGGAAAGGGGAGGGAAAAAAAGAAAAAAGGGGGTTACTT